TATTGTATGACGTCTATGATCTATTTATTTCGACCACCACTTAGCGCTAAAGCCATCTGTAGGAAAACGGCGGAAGCAAAGTTGCATATCTAATTAAAATAATAGATATAATTAATTGTAGATCTAATTAGATAAGAATAAAATTGTACAGCATATAAAATTTGTATTACACTTGTATATACATAATAAATTGCTCAAAGTAACCTAGCAAACCAAGTTACATAAGTGACTGTCAGTTACAATTTTTCGCTCAACAATGTAGCTGTTTACATTGTCGAGTGAGAAATTATAACTGGTTTGTTATTGTTATCTCGTGTTTGGTGTTTGGTACTCAGATAGCACAAAAATGAATAGAAATTCACAGAGAATTTATTTTAAAGAATACCTAAAGAATTAGAAAAATGAATATCTGAAGAATCCCTGAAGAATTATCCGAGTCTAATTCATTTTAAAGTATTTTTTAAAACTTCATTATAATGAATTTTGCGAATTACTTGAGATACTCTGATAGTTCGTGAGAAATTACTATTATTATCTAATTTTATTTACATTTTATGATTACATTAGACAGATACCCCATAGCTTATAATAAATGATAATTTTTATAGATTTATACGTAATTTTGATTAATTTAATTAAATCTTATATAATAACGTAAATTTCCTTTTTTTAAATTATATTTTATAATTACTTAAAATTTATAGTCTTTTATGACTTTGTTTATTTAATAACAGTTAACAATAAAAAATGTTTATTATCAAAATTTAAAGATAACGAAATGGAATGTGCGGGATTTTATAGACCTCACTTCATTAGCTAAGAGTTAAATTAACAATAAATGTACAAAAAATATAATTTTTATTGAAATTAAATCATTTCATTAAATTATATTATCAGAAAATTATATTATTGTGTTAATTATAACACATATAGACAAAACGTAAGACGTTTATATCGATCGACGAAGTGGTATAGTGTCTAAAGCAACAGACTCATAATCGAGAAGTGCCTCGGATCCAAGTTCGAGTCTCACTAGTGCTAGTTAGTAAGAATTTTTAAACATGATGTAAGATTGGAATCAAATAATCTAAAATTTTGAAGTAAAATTAGCAAACACTGTGACATTTACGAATACTTTCCATTAGAAAAAAGTAATACATATCATATATAACAAAATTTATAAAATATACATCTATTGTTCCATAAGTAATTCAAAATGAATATTTTTACAAGTTCGTGACGGCATGTCCTGCTCGATTTTTGCTACGTTTTTACTGTCACACTATGAAAACACGATGTGCGCAAGTTTTGTTACACTTCTATCTAGGTACTAACCCTCTCCGCCACTCCGTGCTGCTCGTGCCTCATCTTTAGGCAGTAGTGTGTGAGTGACGCGTCATCGTGTGAGTCACACGGATATACGGACAGCATTAACGCCGGTGCGTATATACGCACACACACACACACGCACACACACGCACGCACGCACGCACGCACACACGCACGCACGCACGCACGCACACACGCACGCACGCACGCACGCACGCACGCACGCACGTACGCATGTGCACACTAAACAGGCGGTGCGTAATGTTGGACTGTAAACCTCTACGATACAAAATGGTAAAAGCCTTTTTGTTTAGTTTAATGAGTTCTATCTACAATACGAGCAATTATACATGTTGTGACCGACACTCTATATAAAAGAAAACTATTATTATATTAGTAAAAAGTTAGCTTTCAATGACTTTCATAAAAATAAAACTTAAATAGGCCTATTCTATTATACATACTAACCATTTTGGTAATGTCTTGCCATTACACGTCAATACACAATGATGAAGATAATGTATGAACTTTAATTTACTTGTTACCGTTTCTACCACATCACCATCCTTCCCATTAGTTATCAATATTTTCCAGACATCATTGGCATCGCCTGTGCCGTTCTGGAAAAAAACAAAGAAAATTAATAAACAAGTTAAGAACAATATTATTTAGATTTTGTTATAATCTTACTTCTCCGTATCCGGTAACTTGATAATGTTTCTTCGAAATTGGTGCAATTTCTTTGTGTGAATGTAAATTTCGTCTCGTGATTACGTGCTCTAGACGAATGAGGTCGCCATGTTTGACCAACATTGCTTCGGACGGCATTTCATCTGAATCAAATTTTTTCACTAACCATAAATTATTATCATCTTTATGAGAATAAGTCGTAATCTGTAATTAAATATAATATTTAGCGATTTTACTTCATTTAGCATTGTCTATTCGTATAATTACCTTATCATACATAAGTTTCTATCTCCATAAGTAAAAAAGAGATACATTTATTTATTTTGAAAATGATATAAAATATGTTTAAAAAATGTCAATTTTTGCTTCACGAGATACACAGAAAAGTCATGTTTGCTATAGTTTTTGACCTATTAAATTCAATTTTAAAAACTGCTAACATATTGAGAAAACATCGAAAATAATCAAGAAAACTCAAATATCAATTAAAACTATATTTAGTTTAATTTAGTTTCAACAATTCACGAACGTTGTAGCTGCTATGACTGCTTTATACACCTTAATTATAGAATTGTATATATGAACTATATAAAAATTATATAGAGTGAACCATTTTAAAAGTTTAATATACGATCTCACAATGAAACTATCGAACTGTGTCCTTTATTGATTTTGGTGGATTTTAAATGTGAATATGTTTGTAGAATTGTAAAAATTATGATAAATATTTAGATTAACTCACTCAATAATTTAAATAACTCATCTTAACATATGTTGTCAAGATCATAACAAAACGTTTCAGTTGTCGTTCATTGTTTATTAAAAATTTTTAAAGAACCGCCTATTTTCATAAAGATTTTGGACTATCCGCGTCCAGTCATCAATTATATATAGGGTGTCCCACCTAAACTAGGCCACTTAAATTCCATTCTGAAAAAACATCGATGACTTTGAAAATTTCGAAAAAAATTAATTTGGAAAAATAATCTTTTTTGCAACATATTAGTCTCTTCACATCATTCAATTTACGTATAAAATATTTTTTATATCGTCACAATTGATGGAGATATTTAGTTTACTCTTATAGAAATATCATACTAAGAATCATTGATTAATTACTTATTTTCAGTATTAAAAGTATAGTATTTAGTAATATTCTGTGATTCAATTACAGCTTTTAATACTCAAGTATTTCAATATTTAATGTTACAAATCCTACCTTATGATTGATTTCAATACTTAAATATTGATATGTAATACTTCGTCCAGTGATAAAATACTTACGCAGAACATTGTCAATATTTAAATACTAATATATAATACTTTGCTAAGTAATGAAATACTTACGCAAAGTACTGTTAAGATTAAAAGTATTAACCCAGACAGCATACAATATTAGTAAGTTATTAGATAAATATTTATAAATATTTATTTTGAATTACTTTTTTAAAATATTATATATATATATATATATATATATATATATATATATATATATATATATATATATATACATAAAGAGAGAGGAAAAATTATGAAAATCTATATTCAAAATATTATTAAAATATAGAAATATCTAAATATCTAAATATTTTCCATAATATTTATTGTAAACAAAAAATTAATATTTTGTAAATATTTCTATAAATATTGCACATGAAAAAAATAAATATAATTATTTATAATTATTAAATTAATAAAGAAATAAGAAAATCGAAATTTAAATTGGTAATGTACATTAGAAAAAAATTCTTTAAATGAAAGAAATATATTTTGTTACATATAATTTCTTAACTTAAAAAAATATTTGTTAAATTTTAGAAAATATATAATAAATATAAAGAAATATTTTTTTAAATTTGTAAAATAAGCTGTAAAATTATGAATTTATAAATAAAAAAAGTGATTTCTTTGATTTAAAATATCTATATATATAAGAATAAACAAATGATTTCTTTACAAGGAGAAAATTAGTGTTTTTAAATGTAAAAACTGTTTAAATAAATATTTGCTTGTTTTAAAAGTAAATAAAATACAAGTAAATCATTTTATAAATCTGAATAAATTATTTTCTAATATTAAAAGTATTTTTTTATGTTTCAAATTAAAGTTTCTTTTATTATCAGAAAAAAATTTATTTAAATTTACAAAATAATTTATTTTACTTACTTTTAAAACATGTAAATATTTTTTAAATATACTTTCTACATACTTTTTAAAACATATATTTTAAAAGAATCTATTCTCTTCTTTTAAATAAATCATATGCTTTCTTATACGGATATACCATATAACGCGTAGTACACAATATAAAGCGTCTCTCAATCAAAGTGACAGTGAGTAAGGTGAACGCAGTAGATAAGGTGAACGACACAAGAATCAGCCCAAGTGACAGACTCACGTCAAAATGACGTAAAAAACTGGTCATAACTGGTCGAATGACGTCAAGTGATTAAATAACGATGTCTTTAAAACGTCTTTTTTTGTGACATCTTAATGACGTTTCTGTATAACGTCTTAAAAACGTATTATTGACGTTTAGAGACGTCATAAAACGTCATTAAAGTATCCTTATAGAAATATCATACTAAGAATCATTGATAATTACTTATTATCCAGTATTTTTAATACTGAAAATAAGTAATTATCAATGATTCTTAGTATGATATTTCTATAAGGGTAGTACTGGCGGTTTATGATCTACCGTTCGGAATTTAATAAAATTTGGTACACTAGTAAATATTTATGCAATAAGATTAGTATATTGTATAATTTTTGTAGAGCTACGGAGAGCTAATAAAAAGATATTGGCATTTACAATTTGGTGCGTTTAACATTGAGTCTTATAGGAAGCCACCGATTATCTCCAATATTTTAGAAAATACCGTTCAGAAATGTGGCAACGTCACTAACAAGACAGAATACGCGCGATATTTAAAAACAAATGGAATCTGAGAAGGTAGGTTTCATAACAATGTCACAAAAAAATATGAAAAATGTTTTATTCATGCATACAAAACAATTTATAATAATAAAAAATTTAATTTATTATAATTATAAACAATAAAATTGTAACTTACCGATATTTTCAATATGTTCTATATATATTATTATTCTATATATTATTTCTATATATTAACTACTCTAAGAATAAATTATTAATTTATTTTATAGACTCTTTGTTGGCAAAAAAACCAGCAATTTTATATATTACTTTTTTACTTTTAGTAACTTTAACAATATCATTTTCATCTTTGCCCAAAACATTTAATAAACCATAAAATTTATTTTGTTTGTATGCTTCTTCTATTTTGTTAAGCATTTAACATGTTTCTTATAAAGCTATGTTCTCTTCATTTTTTATTAAAATCTGAACGGTATTTTCTGAAATATTGGAGATAATCGGTGGCTTCCTATAAGACTCAATGTTAAACGCACCAAATTGTAAATGCCAATATCTTTTTATTGGCTCTCCGTAGCTCTACAAAAATTTATACTAATCTTTTTTGCATAAATATCTACTAGTGTACCAAATTTTATTAAATTCCGAACGGTAGATCATAAACCGCCAGTACTACCTTAAGTCGTCTAGAATGTCGTCATCGATCTGTGATATTAGACTATCATTTTGACTATATTCTCACGTTATTTTTGATCATTCCTTGGTTATTTTTTATCCTGAACTTATTTAGATTTGGATGTCATTTTGACGTGTCTGTTACCTGGGAGAGGCTCGAATCTTAGCAATGCTCAGCACAGAAGCTTGCAGCAACATTGCTACAACGTTGCAAGATTGCATATTGCAGTGCAATGTTGCAGAGACTTTGCAGTGACATTAATTTGCAATATTACTTTAGCAATATTGCAGTAATATTTAAAAAAATATTACGAATATAATATATTTTATTTATTTACAAGTTATTTTTGTTACTTGTATTTCAAATTCAGTAATGTTTTACATCAATAATACTTATAGAATAGTACTTAGAGTAGCACTCGTTAGTGACAATCATTAATTTGTCTTATTGCATATTTTTTATACTTCTTATACCGTTTTTTCGGAGAAAATACTTTCTTTAGATTTAATATTCGTACTTGTTTAATTTTGTGGTTTTTTTT